CTTGAGAGTGTCGCGTTAGGAGTACAAATATTGGCTCAAGGTTCGAGTTCCCCTCGACAAAGGCGTCAGACAGTAAACATTACTTTATTTTTCTCTACCAATCCACACACACACGCACGCGCAGATAAGGTGTGACATTATATTATTATTATTATTATGAATACTACTATACATTCGGCCCACACACCACCGAGGCATAATAATAATAATAATAATAATAATGATACACCGCAAGACTGGCGTTGTACTTGCGGGGTATATTTGTGTAATAATTGTTCAATTGAGATGGTCTAATTGTACTGGATGTGCGCGCACGACAAATACATTATTCATAGACGTCAATGACAAAACAGTACGGACCGGACCATGGAGTTTAAACAATCATGTATATAATATGAGAGCAATTTAATGGTTTTAAACTGTGCATACTATACCCGGAGCCGCGGCAGTTACTGTCTGTAGCCAACGTCTAGGAAAACGTCAAACCGGTAATAATAAATTGTGAAAAATTTAATAATAAAAACGTGGCGTACGACTTAGCGGCGTGGGCACATGCAATGGAAGTCGGCTCGTGCATTTTAAACAATTTTGTCTATTATATAATAATTAAACGGCCGACGTTGGTTTACGTGAAGTCATACAAATGCCGCCGTCGCTGCGGGCTCTGCGTGGAAACTACTTGAATTTTCTACGGCGCGATTAAGACATCATCGTGTGTCTTATCACACGAATAATCACTCGCCGGAGATCAGATTCCAACCAGAAACGATATAACATTAGATACCTACACATGATTAGTCCCAGTTAACCGCTAATTAAATCACGACTTTTCGTCCATAACCGCGGCCGTTATGGAGTCTTCGGGTTTTTGTTGTGACTTATTAGGATATTTAGAGTGCTGGCGGGGGTTATGTTGTAAAAAAACGCGATTCGTCACGATAGAACCGGACGATTGTTGTAAGTCTTGAATATTTCGGACACAAAATATATTGGTACGCCAATCATCGCTTGACCCGAGGCTGAGGTAAAAAAACTAGAAAAAAACGAATCAATAAGTACCCGTGTAAAGTATGCTACAACGACAAGTCTTTGTCTAACAGCCTCTCAGACAGGAAAAAATAACAACAACTATTATAATTTTTGTTTTGTCCGTCCGACAATGCCGCCTAGTTCAATAGACGTTAATTTGATACAGACAACATAATATATTGTGTTATTATATTGGTATTATACGGTCGCTTTAAAAATTTGTACGTGAACGGTGAAACGCGTTAATTATTACAACTATAATAGAAACATTTCGTTTCGAACAACTTTTGGTATGCTCGTATTACCATTATCAAACGATACCGCAAGTATCGATACGACATAAGTACAAATATTATATACTTATAAATTATAACGATAGACAGCGGCTATGGACGCACATGAAATTGGATAACTACCGATAGTATGATCAAGGCTGTCCAAAAACAATGTACGTGGGAATTAATACAATGTTTTAGGCTAAGCCATCTCTAGGGGAAAAAATGCATAATAATATTCCTTTCATCGCAGAGACATACAAAAACCACATAGCGTCTTTTTTTTTTTTCACCACTCCCTCGACGTACTAGGTACTTTTTAATAACTAATAAGTATATTATATTATAAATGACATTTTGTTGTATTTGTATAGGAATTGTAGCACGGCGTGGAAGACAATCAGTATTTTTTTTTTTTTTTTGGGTGTGAATGTCAAGCTCGATAACGACGATCCACGTTGACACTTCGGTCACTTATCTATAGGGTTTCCGTTTACGCCAGTCAAGTGTAATATTACGACGTATGCTATTTGCTTAGGGATACAATCCAAACAAGTCTAATCTGAACCAAATGTATCGATTCGACTATCTATCGGCGGAGAGAAAAAATACAAATAATAATAACACACGGGCACACACAAAAATGTGTTTATCTCGGCGTTCTCCGTGACACCGGGACGGATAGGCGACGGGGTACATGTGTGTCGCGGCACGAGTTCTCCCAAAAAAAACATTTTTTTTCTTTTTCATGTATTTTTATTTTAAGACTTGGGCGTTTTTATTCGATTCGCAAGCGAGGCATAAATACAATATTTTAATTTCGCCGTGACAACAAAGGGAATACACTGTTATCGTTTTGCTCGTTTATTATTTTTTTTCATAACGACGTATACAACAATAAAATATACCCCCGTGCCTTGATTACAAGTTTCCCGAGCCTATATAAATATATATATATATATATATATATGTAATAAGTCTATACCCGATCAAAGCTCCGTCTGGTCACATTTTAATATTAAAAAAGAAAAGCCTTTCAATATCCGAAGCTTCCGGCAATTTTTTTTTTTTAAAGCTTCCCTCGGAGAACAAATAAAAAAAAAAAGATAAGCTTTCGACTACGAGTTGTGTACACAGTCTAATAGAAAAAAACCCGACAATAGGGATAGATAGTGTACCTGCGATATTGTAATGAAAAATATATCATTCATGAAAACGTCGCTTCCTTTGTAGGTTGTCTGGGCAAAAACTTCGAACAAAGTCAACTGGATTTTATTGCAAGAATCTTAAGTTAAAGAAACTATACATTTGTATCCCTATTTTAACTATATTTTTTTTGTCGTGCTGCCAGTTTTTAAATTGTCTGCTTAGTTTCATTCGGAATAGATATCGGAATACATCAAGAGCATGGTTTAAAAATTCATCGCCAACTCGAAGATTACAATGATTTGTTTAGTTCGTAATTAGGCGAGCCGAAGGTAAAATGATTTGTAGCGTTCTTTATGAGATATAAATTACAAACCGTTGTCAGACACCCACGCAAAAACAGAACAGTTTCACGAGATACTATCGACACCATTAATTAAAATATAAATTTAATCCAATGAAAGAATTTGTTTGTATCCGAATTTCCCGGGTGGCCGCTGTAATAGAACATTTAACCTTAACAGTTTAATTTTATAATAATTTCGGTTGGCAAACGGACTTGAAGGTAAACGAACAATGTACAATTTTCTTCACTATGCTCGTTTTCATTTTAAATAAATACAATTCGCAACAACCCACGTGCACGAAAAAAATACATAGTTGGCTCAACTAAAATTATGATTAATATAGGGACACAATACGTTTAAAGTTTGAATAAATAAACATATTGTTGCTTTTACTAAACATTTAGTTGTCCAACTGTATTTTTTCCGTGTGACTTCCATCAAGATTTGCAAATGGTATTAGAGGCGTTGAGTGCAATAACCGCCTTATGTTAAAATAATTTAGGTTAGGCTATTATTGCCTTATTTGTATGTCACGAAAAAATAATCGTTTAACTTTAACTTAACGGTGGCCGAATGACAAATTAGAACCCTATAGCAATCAAAAATATGGTGAGTATTTTTCCGACAAAAAACTTACAAGCGTATTAACATTAAGGTGTAAGGCTAATGTCGAGGTGAGAGCTCGATAGCGATTTTCGATAATTCGTTGAACGTTCCGAACACAGTAAACGAATAATAATGCGGACGGGCAATTACGTGTAGAAATTGATCGTTAAAATACAATTTATTGGTGTTTTTTTTTTAATGTCTGTGAAAATACCTAATTGAAAAAAAGCCGAACGTTCGTCGCGGTTCAGCCGAAAAGCAATGTGAACGGTTTTACGCTAGAGGTGTAATTAAATTGGTTCGAAAGGATTTATCGGTTTGCTCGTCATTCGTCGCGTCAACGCAAGTAAACGAGAGATTCCGGTAAATGGTAAAAAGAGGGAAAAAATCTTATCAAAAGGCGCAAAGTAAGTAAGTGCACGCTTGCTGCTATACAGTCTGGTGTTATGTTGAGGTGCTTCCAGCATATTGATTATTTTCAACGGCCAACAATAATTTGCAGGATGTGTGTTACAATACTTATTATTATCATTACGCATATACGGCTTCGGAAGATTCAATTACCAGGTAGATGATTTTACCTAATTTTTTTTTTTTTATTCTATAGTTACCAACCTTACTGCGGTAACTCCTCGCCCGTGCGGTTAATCATATACTATCGGCAGCGAACCGGACACAACAATATAATATTACTATAACTGAGCGGAATTAATTTAGAATTGCGTACACGCATTGCCGAAATCAACTATAGGTTGATGATGATAATAATAACAATACCGGAAAACAGTAGTAATTTAATCAAATCGTTAATGCCATAATATTGAATTATATTTTGATAACGATAAAAAATTCAAGAAAGGCATTGGATACTGACGGCATTAAAATGATTAATTCGTCTTTATATAGCATTAAGAATTATGATGTTCATTGTCTTGGTTTAAACTACAGACAGGCAAAGAATAGCAAAGCAAACCGACTAGCATAATATTATTTTTGGAATAGATAAAAGGAAAAGGCTTGCCTCGGAAGGGTTGAGTCAAAGAAAATTAAAATTAACGACAGTAGAAAACAAAAAAATCGTTCTTATTCATTTCACTTGTCGAATCTGTAGCTTTCCAATCACGCTATCATTCCAACGTGTGTTAGCTTTTTCAAGACATTTAATATTTTTCAAATTGTTCAAACACCTACTTTTTTTGTTGAAATTATCTATATATTTCCATAATAATAACAACGAAAATATCTGTCTTACATATATATGTTTAAATCCCGTTCTAGCCCTACACGTTATTATCTCCATCATACAAAGCAGTGCTTTGGGTAACGTCAACTTGGTTATTTAATTAATTCAGATTATTATTTTGTTCAATTATTTTTGTAATTTTAGTCGCATTTTTTCCCCGTTACAACACTTCATCTATAATTTCTTGTTTTGCGCTTACCAAAACGTGTTTCCTTTTTAACGGTCAAATGTTCCAGTAGTAAAAAAAAAAGTATTTTTACAGACGAAAAGATTACGATATGTTTGAACATATCAATCATTATTGTTATTTATAATAAAATCTATAATATCGTTACGGAAATTATTTTCACTTACCAAATCCCGCGGCTCTTGTTTTCAAATAAAATTTTGTGATGTATTTATTTTCCTAACACACACACACACACAATGGCACCATAAAAACACAAATTAGTTTTAAAAATTATATATGTTTGTGATATATGTGTTTATATATCGATTCGCGACAATCGAATCGGACCGAGTATCATTCAAAATAAAAATCCGAAAATGTAAAATGCAAAAAAAAAGAACTCGTTTTATTCGAAACAATATAACGAGGACAACATGACCGTGGTGACGACACAGACTGACACGAACACCCTAACGCGATCGACGGCAAACGCGGACTGTCGACGGTAACAACGCGGCATACGACCGTACCATATGCTCTAGCGGTGGCGGTCTTGTGCATGCACTTGGGGGCGTTGCCGGCCGGCGTAGATCATAATACGGCGAATACCGCGTGGTAAGTATGTAGGTCCGTTGTTGTTGTTGTGGCAATGATCGTGATCTACAATTAAAAAAAAAAACAACCCTTGTTTAAAACGGTTAAGACAAAAATACAACTCGACACCTAATCGCGCGGCGGAATCTAACACTTTGATGTGTTTTCAGTAAGTAGTGAAGTTATCGTCCGAGTGATAAGAGGATAATATGTAAGAAGTGGCAGATCGCGTGCAGAGAAAGATGAGGTCTGAGCGGCAGGTAGGGATTGGTAAAAAGTATATCAATAAGCATTGAGACGTAGACGCGACTATCTGGGAAAGTAGCGTCGACGCTGATAAGATCTTATTTATGTTTGGTTTATTCTATATTATAATGAATAAAATATAGTTGTTCATATTAGTTCAAAGTATAGAATATATTGAAAATATCTTTGCTATCGAGTTAGAAACATTATTTAATGTTCTATGGAGGCAGGAGGTCATGTGTGGATAAAATTACCTAGTAATAATTTTCGTAATACTATACTAATAGTTAATACAATATGGCTAGATGCTCTTGAGTCATAATTATTATTAGTTATCTACACTATCGGAAGTATGCTGTCTGCGTCGTGGTTTTTTATAATTTATGCCACGCGTGTGACGGACAGAGGCAAAACATTACTGCTAGTAAAGCCTTTTAAGAAATTACCGATCCATTAGTACATGTTTCACTTACTGCTACAACATAGTTTTGCAAACGTGCAAAAGGTATCAACAAGGAATAATAATATAGTCATAACTTGTATACAACAATGGAGAGCAGTTAATATCTTATATAGATAATGAATATTTTATAATTATTCCGGAGAAAAGATTAGAAACTTGATTATTTAGTTTGATTGGTTCATATAAATTTGATAAGTTAATGATACTTAAATCAAACATCTACCGAAAACTAGAGTAATATGTATTATATAATATGTATTGTTATCTTATTACAAGTGTGCAATAATTATTTAATGATATAATTATGTAATTCATTTATAATGATTATAATATAATCACTTGTGCATTTAGTTTTTCGGTTACCATTTTTAGATTATAAAAAACGGTACGCCTATGTGTTCTTTAACAAAATGTAACTATAATTATAAAAGAATACACTTAAACATTATTAAAATTCGATTTATTTGAATTTATTCGGTAGGAGTGTCTAACACGTCAAATGTTCTTTGTGGAATAAAAAATCAATCATTGATCGCGCTATAATAAATATCAGACGGCCAAAAAGAAACCCCATTATATTATTGTTTTTTTTTTTATTTTATATCGGTACTGGTGTGAAAAATCGATAAGTTCTCGGAGGAAATCCGGTGTTTTGCTTAGTTTCAGAACACGTACGACGATTGAAGCGCACTAGAGTGTACCCGACTTTGGCGCCGGTAAAAGGCACTCTCTGTGTACATTTCGATTAGGGAGGGGTACGTGAATCAGATCGGAGGGCGTAATAAAACAGCCAAAAGTAGCTGCAATAGGATTATAGAGGCGGATACGGACCAGGAAGTGGTCGGAGGGTGAGAGGGTGGAACAGAGAAAGCGGGTTTGCGATAACAATGTATCAAAAGCTGCCTTTAAGAGGTATTTTGACAACATTCTCTGCCAAGCATCCAACAGGCCAGTCTTAGCGGTCGATTAGCCGGAGCCGACAATGCGGAACATATTGCTCGAACACAGATTACCGAATATAACAATAAAAGACAATCTGTTTAAGCTTCTACCACGCCGTTTGAGTGTTCAATATCGTAGAATATAATTGAAATATTTATATACTAACGTACAATAACAATTAGTTTAAGATAAACTCAATAGACACAATGTTTTTATACGTTATTTTTAGTTAAATAGTTATACGTAAATAGCGGGTTTTCAACTAAATCTTTTGTATAATCATACCTAAATTGATTTGTTATCTGATTGTTATAAACCTTAGTGGTATAATTTTAATGGAATAACTGATATATAATAATGGATTTTTTTGTTTTAAATGTTATAACAACAATTATTTCAAAATTCAATTTCTATAGGAATGTCGAAACGTATATTAGGTAACTAACAAGGTTAGTGACACCGAATTCAACCCCTCCTGTATGTGTATAATAATGGCAAATCTACGTGTTTCATTGAATTACGGTATACCCCATGTGCGATAATAATATAAGCATCTCCCCTCGCTACACCACTGAGGTTACTCTACCGGTTTCCAACGCAATATCCCTAACTCTCGGGGTCGTAAATGTGTTATAATCCGTTGACAGAATAACTTTGGTCACACTAAAATATCATGGCCACGAGAAGACACATTTTGTAATTTTGTCATTTTTTTTTTGGACTCATAAAAATATTATTTATATACTGTACTGCGATCAAGACATTAATCGTTAAATATTATAAGTTACCTTCTTTCCTTTTGTTAACGATTTATAATTAAAAACAACATTACGGACCTAACATAATACGCAATTATTCTTGTATTTTACAAATTCTTACATACACTAAGTATAAGAAACAGTGTTGGGAAAATGAAAAAGAACGAATTCAAACTACGTGTACATAATAATTATCATACTAAAAACAAACATCAATTGGAGGTAGTTATGGAGTAATTTTTTTACATATAAGTGAAATGAACATATTTCTAAGCTCTACAATGAAATACCGTTTAATTTACCTTAACTAATAGTTCAATGTATAGGTTGTAGCTCATTTATTTGCTCAGTTTGGTCTCTAAATAATAACGTGACCTAATATCAAGTAGTATTACAAATTTCTAGTAATGAATCATTCGAAGTACAACTTATTGTGTATAATATTTTATATTACAACATATTTCCAAGCTAACAAATAAATAAAGACGTGTGTTACAAACAAGCCGTTACGGGAAGAGCTAAAATAATTTCAACGGCAAAGTACAATTTATTATAGGCCGACAGAATTTAAGTATTTGAGAATTTGCATATATTACAAGTGGTTTATTCTGTAACCCATGTCGTAGTACGGTGTAAAATAAAAATGTTTTATTCGAAAAACATGTACTTTGTGTACAGCCTCGGGCGGAGACGTCTTACTCCCACAATGTTCCACATACAACGTGCAAGGAAATAAATTTAAATGCGTATAAAAAAACCTCTGGACGGCTGTAAATAAAAATGTCCTCTTTAATACTTTTATAATGGACGGTATAACACACACACACACACACACACACAATACCTACCGGGGCAATGGTGATTTATCGTATTCACCAAACGCGTTGTGTACTGTTTAACACTAGCGTAGGTACTAAGTACATTTTAATATTGTGAAATCAAAAAATTAATTACCCGCTAATCATCAACACCGCTCGCACGTACAAACGCAACGGCGGGTATGACCGTTTAACATTTTGATCATGATAATATGTGTGGTAATTTTTTTTTTATCTGTTTATTTCGGTTACAACAGTAGTATAATTACCGAGGGCGCGCATAATATGCTATACTGATAAAAATGTGAGGTTTTTTTTTTCAAAATGCTTTTTTAACTGTTCGGATACGCTTCGTCCGTGGGTGGACAAAAAAAGGAAAACGAACGAGGCCGAGGCGCACGTTAAAACGGTCGTTGTTTTATTTGCAAGAGCAAATTTTGTCGGGGCACACCTTGTGGATATACAACAGAACGTATGCGAGTTGCATACTGTGGCCGCACTATATACTTCTAAGTTATAAATATTTCATATATACATACCCTGCTTGGCGGCTGAGTTATTGCCCGACTGTCGCCGTTTCGTCCCAAGTAAAATTTCAATAGTAGTGTTTTTTTACGATGCAGGTCAAGACGTTTTTTTTTTACAGCAAATAGAGATTATGATACCTTTTTAACTTTACCCGGTGTAAGTGCACCAGACTGTATAATAATATTACATAAGAATAATAATAATTCAGCGACACTTAAGATTGTTTGAAAATATATCTTTCAATCTTCAAATGAGTTTTGCGTTCTTAGCGAAAAGATAACGTAGCAAGACTTATATGGTTTGGACATGTTTACAGGAGAAACGATAACCCCATAACGAAGAGAGACCAAGAATGGAAGGTAGAGGAAAAGTGGAATTGTGAAAACCCCCTAAAAAAATTAAATGGATTATATACGTGAAGACATTAAGAACTCAGATGATACTTATCAAGATGCGATGGGTAGACTGTACGGAGAGCCAAGACTTGAAAAGCAGCCTCGAACGCTTATTGACTGAAAAATGCCATACGGAAAATAAGATATGAACAATATATATATATATATATGTATTATGTATAGCGTATATTATTATTATAATACTCGGCGCATACGACATCATGTCCTTATTTAAATTTGGATTAAGCGCATTGCGGCTGTCTTCTTCGACTTTGTCAACGTACAATTTAGCAAAATACGATATTTGTTTAATGTTTGGGCTTCATATAGTAAATTGTATATTGTCTTTGCTTTAACGTACACATTCGGTTAGACATGAAAAACACAGCTAAAACTAGCTGACTATACCGCCTCGGGGTGGTTGGTAATATATATATTAAATAGGGAAATATTATATGTGTATGCTTTTTACTTATAACAGGTTATTATTATGAGTGACTAAACACAATTATTATTATTTTTCCGAGTAGGTCGTATGATACTTTATAAGTTGTTCTTCGCAACCTAATTGTGACATTGTACTTGGTATTACAGAAAACGTTTGACAAAATAGCATTTGTAATTAACAAACATCAGCATCTATCAATATTTATAATAGTTATCTTCAAAACCCCCAACCAATCGCCATGCGTTTTATCTGTATAGTAATTTACAGATATAAGGTTATAGAAATGGTT